GTCTCTTATGCCGCTTCTGAAGTTCTTGAAATCAGATAAAGTTACTAGTTCTTCTAGTAACTAGTGAATGAGACCACTGAGCCAAACAGAATACATGTATAAACAGTACTATAATAAATTGCACGCAATGGAGAAATCATGTGCTGTAAAACAGCAGCGTTACTCACAGATCTAATCTACTGTAAAATGTTTTATTTCAGCTGGAATTATCATTCGCTGAAAAGACTTTTTCTGGGTGTTTTGTATTGAATTTATTTTCATTGATTTCTGACAAGTTGACTATAAAATATAAGAAAAGGGTATATATTCGCTGGATTTTATTTTAACTGAAACATTCTTTCAGCGAAAATAGCAAAAAAATGTTGCAAGCAAAAATAAAGTATTTTACAGTAATTAATTTATTCTGAGCATGCGCAGACATTCTGTCAATGTTGCCGGGAGAGGTAATTTTTGATGAAAATCATGAAAAAGACCCACTTGGGATTTTCAGATCTGGAAAAAAAATTACGTGCATACTCAGCAGAGACTTGTTCATCAACCTGCCAAGTTTCACTGATATCTGCTGTAGAATTTTTGAGAAAATGTTTGAGACGGAGAAATGGACATTTGATATAACCTGAACGGGGGGACTAATCATTCATTGAAAAGTGTTATTACATAAGGAATGTATTATAAATTACATATAGATAGTCCCCAATATGCCATATTCTTATATACAGTAGGGGGGGGGGGTTAGTATTGTAAATTGTCTCATCTTCAATATTCATGAATAGTTTTATGATTGCTCAATTATGTAAAAACTTTATTAATAACTTGTTAACTAATAAAGAATTCTATTGTATTCTGTATGACTATCATAGACCCAAAACAAAAATCCAGAATATTATTTGATTCATTGCTACATTACATGATTTCAAGATTGTATGGCATTCATGAAAGCATAATTTTACTGCTACAAATCTTTACAATTTCCACTGACTCATGAAAGTCGTGAAAATTTGTCTTTAATGAAATAAAAGTTTACAGCGTACTCACCTGCCAAGGCCGTAGCTGAAAACCTCACCACTATGAGAGAGTAACAGAACATGCTCCTTACCACAGCTAACCTGCTTCACAATAATATTAGTAATAAAAGGTTTGAATATCATGTAACTATCATCTTTTATCTCAAGCTCACCAGCTTCATTTCGACCTAGTGACAAAACAGGAAAGAAAGAAATCATCAGTAAATTTATCAAAGTCATCAAAGTATTTATTTATTGCATTGTTTTTATAGAGAATAGAAATGAGTCACAAAAATTACCACACCCATTACTTTCAATTAACCCTTCCTGAAATTCCTTTAAATAACATCTACAGGGCGATAGTCGTTGCGCATGAGCGAATATATGGGTCTCATATAAGCAAAGATGGCGACTTTAACTGTTGCGCAGATCAACGAGTACAAACTGAGTCGTTACCAAACTTTACTTAGGTATTTTTTAGGTGATTGGAAGGTATCGAAGGACGCGGCGGTAATTAGTGAAAGGCGTGCTTAGGTCAAACCTCATACTTGTGATTTCTATTAAAAGAGCGCATTGGATTGTGGGAGAATCAATGTTTATCAACACAAATGTCACACATGTGCAGTATGATGACCACCACCATTTAACCCTACTCCATAATGTATGTAAACATTGGTCTTACCGATTTATGTTAACACCCATGAAAATGTTATTGTATTTTATGTATTTTATTCAGTGTGTAATAATTAAATGATTTTGTAAAAAAAACAAACTTAATATTAGTTAACTAAACATCAAGTTATGGGTAACATTGAATTTGTTGTTGATTAACTTTTATATTTAGTAATCTAGACACAACAAAACAATTCCTATCATCTTATAAATATGGAGAACTTTCAATGGCATTTTGAATGCAATGAGCCTATCAATGAGCACAGTGCACACTGACATCATTTCAAAATGTCCCAATCAAAGTGAAGTGATTCTAATAATATGCTAGCTCACCCCATCGTGAACATACATGTGTGACAATGCTGCCATGGATGACTGTCATATCTTTTGAAGTCATACTCTAAAAGAGAGGGAGCTGAAAGGATGAAGAAGATTTATTCGTTTTTGTTTCATTAAGTTTGGTTTGATTTAAAGATTGATAAAGATGAACATGGGCAAGTTCAAGGTGGACACCCATGGTTTCTCACTGACAACATGTTCTATTGTTATTATGTATTTACAAATAGTTTCATGATGCATTGTTTCATTATTAATTTAATTTTCGCTGCGAGAAATTCATGAAAACTTGTCTCAGTTTATAGTATCAGTACCATATGTAATCTGTGACATTATACCTGTTACTGCAACCATGTGAGTATCACCATATGTAATCTATGTGACATTATACCTGTGACTGCAACCATGTGAGTATCACCATATGTAATCTATGTGACATTATACCTGTGACTGCTACCATGTGAGTATCACCATATGTAATCTATGTAATGTTATACCTGTGACTGCAACCACGTGAGTATCACCATATGTAATCTATGTGACATTATACCTGTGACTGCAACCATGTATCACCATATGTAATCTATGTAATGTTATACCTGTGACTGCAACCATGTGAGTATCACCATATGTAATCTATGTGACATTATACCTGTGACTGCAACCATGTCAGTATCACCATATGTAATCTACCGTTAAAGTCCTAATATAAACCGCATACGTAATAGTAACCGCACCCCCAATTCCGGCATTGGGGTTAAAGAGTTCTTAACAAAAATTGAAAACTTGAAAAGTACCTATTACTAACCGCACCCCCAATTCAACAAGACCGTGACTGACTTCATTGTTTCAACCAGCTGTTCCAAAACAGCATTGTTCCTAATCCTATTCTTTGTTTCGACAACATGCCTAACAATAT